AAAAATCAGCACTCATTCAGATATGAATCGATGATTCTTATCATTCCATATTTGAATGCATCGCGCCCCACACATTAATAGCAAACAAAGAGGTGCTCTTTTCTTTAAGAGCTGAAGTCAATAAAAATGTGTTCGAAACGTGTTCTCACTAAAATTATACGTATCTTCAACAGCCACTGTCTATCTGCTTAATAAAAGCTTTAGACTGTCTCATCGCAGCCACGTTTCCGCTTAGCTGTGCGCTCTGCTAAATTCTTTATCGGATGAGTTTAGTTTTTGACTTGTTTACAACCGAATTTACTTTATCTCTTATGTTTACACACTGACTGTCATCACGCTATGTATTTCTTAACATTTTTGTTTATCCTCATCATTCTAACCTAACGAAATTAGTCACAGTGAATTTTAAATTGCATTTCAACATACAAATGCTGCTGATATTTTAAGAATTCTTCTTAGTTTGTTTTCATTAAATTTCACGTTTTTCTTTGTCTAATAACACAGCAATTTTTTTGCACTTTTAAATTTTCTGTTGTTTTGTTTATTTGCTTGTCTGTTTAATTTCGTTTTGACTTTACCGAGGAAAGAAAAACAAAAACACACGAAAAAAAAAACATTTTAAAAGGCAAACCGAAAATAAAAAGTTTATGTTTCCCAGTGTTGCATTGGAACAGTGAGGAAAATTTAGGTACATTTACCAAACTGACGGCACAATAAGGAGCAGATTTACGATTTGCCAAAAGTATAAGCTGCATAGGGGCCAAAGTGGTCGGGGGTTGCATTTTTGTCAATCGCGGTTCATGCCCTCTCCAAAAAGAGCAATTGTAAAGTTTCCCCGGTTGGAAACGACCATTTTGACTTGGATGAATTTTGGTTAGAACTTTTCTCTAATCTTTCAAGTTCTGCCAAAAGAATTTTTTTTTCGAAAGATAAGGATTTTGCAAGTTTAATTTTTGAACATCTCAAAAACTTTTATAGTTTCAAAAACTGTTCTGGTCTATTTTTAAAGGTGTTTAAAAAATTTCGGAAAATAAAAGTAATACAGAATTTCGAAATTTACAAAAAAAAAACATCATAAAAAATAAAAAGAACATAATTAAAACTTTTGGCTAATTTTTTTGTACAATACACTGACCTTAAAAGTTCTTAACATTTTCAAGATATGAATTTTTGAACTTTGGAACATTTTTTCCCCAAACTCTAAATAAAGCTATGTAAAAAACTTTTATTTAATTTAAATTTACTTTTAATTTATTTTGCAATTTTTGTATCAAAGTTCAAAAATTCATTTCTTTAAGAAAACATCTTAAAAATTTCAGTATCTGTGAGATTAATTATAGATATTGTATAAAAAAATGTAGTCAAATTGGTTTATAACTTTTATAATAAAAAAAATAATAGATTGGTGCTCAAACATGCAGTGACTAAAACAAATGACCACTTGTGTTTTTTTTTTTAATATCGTCTAAGCTTTAACCAAAACCGTGTAAATCACAGTTTCAAACTGAATACAAAATTTAGGAAAATTCAACAAATTGTCGATCAAAATTTCACCTTTTTATTCTGAATTTTTAGAAAATTTTTAGGTATGCAATTTTATATTTATAGCCGATACAATTTTAGTCGAATGAAGTGCAAGTTTCAAACGGCTATTAAATCACGTTGATTTTGAGATTTTTTTGAGGATACTTTTCTGAGTTTTTTAATGTAACAAGCGCAATTTACAAAAACTTGCGTTGATATTTTGAAATTTCGTTGCTGACGGGCTCCCGCGATTTATTTCATAAGAAATTCATACTTATATGAAAAAAGGGCAAAAATCCGTCACCAAAAAAAAACTTAACCCAAAAATTTTCAAAAATTCCGAATAAAAAGTTGAAATTTTGATGAAAATTTGTTGAATTTTCCTAAATTTTGTATAAAGTTTGAAACTGTGATTTACACGGTTTTGGTTAAAGCTTAGACGATATTTTTATATAAAAATAACAAAAAAAATCTAGCTAGAAAAACATTACCAATATTTGAAGAAAATCAAAACGTGGTCATTTGTTTGAGTCAATTCAAGTTGAATTTGCTTGTTCAAACATGCGGCAACCCTACTAAATATAGTTCTGAATAAAGCCTTTCAAACGTATTTCGATTGATACCTATCTCCTTCAAAAACCTCAATAATAGCTTATATGTATATTTAAACTAAATATTTCTGTGCAAATCTGATGTCATTAACAAAAAATTCATATGTATATGTAAGGTAGTAATTTTTAAAAAGGTGGCAACCCCACTAAAAAAATAAAACCTTATGGCACATCCGGCGACCGTATCCTTTCGCTTTGCACCTCATTTTTAGTTGAAGTGAAGATATTATAATTTTTAAAATGGTGGCAGCCCTACTAAAAAGATAATACATTATTGGACATCTAGTAGAGGCCAAGCACCTTCATTTGACACCTCATTTTCTGTAATCCAACGAAGGGTGCGGATCTTATTATTTTTTAGACAGGTGGCAACCCTATAGAAATTCTCAGGCCTAAAGATAATACCTCTATTACAAAATGTTCACAAATCCGTTCAGTAGTTTTCAAGATTAACGTGGTGAAAAATACCGAATTTGCTTTATTCTATGTAAGGAGGATACATAGATTTCTACGTGTACTTGCTTAAAATGTTAAATTTTGGAAAAATTAGCAAAAACTGTTACTACTCAAATAAAATCTAATTATTATTAAGCATTTTTTTTAATATTAGTTCGCGTCATAACTCGTCAGTTTGCTAGTTCTACTCCACGCAACACAAAAATATTGTTCAGTATTTTTTTTTTAAATACGCACTACAAACACATTAAATAACAACAAACAAACACACACACGATATGCACATTAACTAATTCTTATTAGAAATACCTTGACCTTTTTTTCCATATCTAATTTTGTTTATTTATATTAACTCAACCTTTCACAAACTCATCACAATTGACTAATAATTTTGCACCAATTCTGACAAAATAACAGCTAATCATACACATGACTTTGAAAGCGCACCGAAAGCACAGGGTTGAAACTTCAAAGCTGTTATTTGGGAATTTTCTTAGTTGACATATGTACCTTTATAAAAATAACTGATATCAAGAATATATGTATAATACGCGACGGGATTTTTTGTTCAGGATAAAAGGTCTGTACCGTTCGCCCGATTTTCAAAAATGAAAAACTGTTGTTAGTTTTTTGAAAAGAGTTGCCACCTTTTAAAAAGTTTAGTTCATATTATTTAATAATCAAGGCCATCAAATCCGCACCGTTCGTTCGATTTTCCAAAGAGAGACGCGACACTAAAGGCCTTAGACTGAAGATGTGAAATAAGGTTTTACTTTTTTGAGAAAAGAGTTGCCACCTTTTAAAAAATTATATTCAAAATATTTAAAATAATAAATCAATTATTACAAAATGGGTATCAAGATGGGTGAAATACTTTGTTACTTAGCTAAACTATAGGAGGGTTGCCACATGCTCAAAAAATCATATTAGGTAAGAGAAATATGTATCACCATCAGATGAAAGAGATTTAAGAAGATTTTGTTTTGAGAATACATTTGAAAAAGAATTTCAAAAATGAGAGGTCAAATCAGAGGCCTTAGCCTGTAGATCTATGATAAAGTTTTATTTTTTAACTAAGAACGTTTCTCCCGGGTATAGGGTGATTTGAAATTCGATGGAAATAAAAACGTCCACTATGTATGCGTCCTGCTCTTCACTCAGAAACGGCTGCACTGTTTTGATGAAATATGGCACTCGGATCTCTTATAACTCTGACTAAAATTCGGAATATTTTTCAAGTTTTTGAAATTAAATTTTGGGCGTGTTCATAGTGAATGCTTGACCAAATTTTCTTGATTTTTTTTTATATCCGAAAATACGAATATTAACCGATTCCTTGTAAATCCGGATAACAGTAAAATTGCACAAACGAATATTAACCGGATATCCATACTATCCGGATTTTCTCCGGGTCAGCGAATAATCCACCTGGATATTCGAATATGCGGATAGTCCCAGCCCTAGTATGTATGTACATTAGAGTGGTCCAAAAAAATTAAGTTGGAATTTTAATGCCGGCACCCCTAGGATTGTTCTATATCGAAAAAATATACCCCTATTTTTTTATTTTGAAATCAAAAAATATTTAGGGGGTGCTCAAAGCGCTCAAAGTTTTCCATGTATTTTATATGGAGAAAAAACAATTTTTCGTAGAAATGGTATAAAACTCTTAAAAATCAATATTTTTCAATCGTAAAACTGTGGTTCTCTTCAGGAGACTTCCAGTATTAATATCCAATTGTTTATTTAACCATTTTTTGTGATTAAAGATTTTTCCATTGCATTTTCTAGGGGTTTTGGAGGACCTATAAAATATAGTTACTATGAAAAAATGGTTAAAGAGACAATTGCGTATTATTACTGGGAATCTCCTGAAGATAAGAAAAGTTTTCCGATCGAAAACTGTTGATTTTCAAGAATTCTACAGTAATTCTACGAAAAGTTGTTTTTCCCCCATATAAAATACATGGAAAACTTTGAGCACTCCCTATTTTTATTTTTTTTTCAAAATAAAAAAATAGGGGTATATTTTTTTCGATATAGAACAATCCTAGGGGGTTCCGGCATTAAAAATCCGACCTTATTTTTTTACATACATTTTTGGACCACTTTAATGTACATACATACAGTATCGGTCATATCTATAGCACGCCATTTCAAAGTGATATTGTGTGCAACTTATGTTAATTTGATTTATTTTGGAACGAATTTCCGTCATCCCTTGTCAAGTTTGGTTTGCAGACAAACCGGTTTCGGCGTTGTGCCATCTTCAGTGTCATTTTTCGTTCTGTCT